CAGAGATGCTGACGTGGAGCTATGGAGCAGCTGGAGACTTTAGATCCAGAGAGGGAGAGCGACTGTGTGCTGAAGACCTGGGGGGTACGGGGGAAGGATTGCATGGAGGGGATTGTAACCATGGCAATGAGACAATGTATGATAGAATGAATGTAAAACTAATGTTCTCCCATGTAAACTATTACATAATTCACAATAAAACATTTAAGAAAAAAGAAATTGATTGCTTGAATAAAACACCTGATAAACAATTTTGTTAATGGCACAAAATACTTTCATCACTGGGTATAATATCTGTTTTCCTTGAATGTTATTTAGAAACTTGTAAATGCTAATCTATTTCTTAGCTTTTCTTTTTTATTTTGAAATGGTTTACTAAATGGAAAAAATGAAGTGTGGCATTGAATGATACAATTTTTCTTAGAATCTCTGTCTTTAAAAATGTAGTAAGACATTGATGTCACATATTTTAATTAATAATTCTTTAATTATCTTAAAGCCACCCAGACCAAGACAAAAAAGACCTTAGCCAAGCCCAACATAAAGAATATTGTGGTGGTTGATGGCGTTCGCATTCCATTTTTGCTGTCAGGCACTTCGTAAGTACAAATGTTTGTGTATATTCCATTTTTAAAGGCACTTTGAAAAGTGATATTTGTAAATATAACCCAGGAGGTAATAGAGCCCTGATGTGGCACTGTAGGATAAGTACTGGACTGGTAACCACAGGTTGGCAGTTCAAGCCCATCAACTGTTTTTAGAAACCCTAAAAAGAGTTGCTAAATTGGAACCAGCTGTATTGCATACAACAGCAGCAACAGCAGGTAATATTGATAGTTAACTAATTTGTAGATAATATTTCATTAAATTAGTATAGAATAAGTAAAGTCAGCCATAAAATAACATGGCCAAAAATGTGTTATACATCCTTTCTCATGAACAAGCCTGGTGCACTTTTAGCTTGAACCAGCTCTGTTTTGAAAGAAAGTCTAGAGTATGCCCACATAGCTTGCTCCCAACAGTTTACTTGTCAAAAGACAAATATTTTCTTAGAATTAGAAGCCTATGCTAACTGATATTCATTGGATATTTAAAATACAATGAAAATAATATTTTACTAAAGCTCTAAGGTTTTGGTTGAAATTGTTTTCTTTCCCCAGATATAAAGACCTGATGCCCCATGATTTGGCTAGAGCAGCACTTACGTAAGTAGATACGCAATTTCATTTTAGCTTTGTTTTTTTCCTTAAAGGTACTTTTCTACAGTTTCTATTCTTAAAATAATGTAGTTAATAGAATTTTTACATCCAGGGTTTGTTATTGTGAGAAAAGAAACTCTGACTTACTATTACAAGATTCACTTAATGTTCATTTTAACCGTGTGTGCTACACAAATTCATGCAGCCGATGAAAGTCAGCTGTCTTTACCTCATTGTTGTTAATTGTCATCGATTCGGTTCTGACTCATAGCGACCCTGTATAGGGTTTCTTAAACTTTAAATCTTCTTGGGAGCAAAAAGCCTCATCTTTCTCCCACAGAGCAACTAGCAAGCTCAAACCATGAACTTTGTCGTTTGAAGTCCAGGCTAACCAAAAATCTATTTAATAAGTACCCTGCTAGCCATAAGTTATTTAAGTAAACAATATGGGACTGGGTTGGTCAACCTAAACACAATCCATATATTTGATGATTTTTTTTTTTTTTCTTGAAGCAGGAACTTAATGATTGTACAGAGGGGAACAGATTACAGGTGTTAATGTAGAAAGAAATCTAGAAAGGCACCTGAAAATTCATGTGCAAACCAAGTAAAAATAAAAAATTAGAGGTGGGAGCCAATAATGAGAGTCATAAAATGTGTGCCTGTCAATGGTGCAAATCACAATAAGGCAGACAGTCTCTTATTCCTTTTCCAATGACACCCTGTCTCTGTGTCTTTTCTAGCATGAAAAACCCTTCAGGTAACCATTCTCCCCATCCCAACTCTGGTCCCATTTCTTCTTTTCCTGCCAGACTTCAAGAATTAGTAATCTAAGGCAGTTGTTTCATTTTCCTTATTGTCCATGTGGTGGTGGTGGTTATGTGCTGTGGAGTCAGTGTATACTCATAGCAACCCTGAATATAGTTTCTGAAGCTGTAAATCTTTGGTGGTGTTCGTGGTGGTGGTAGTGTGCTGTGGAGTCAGTTCCGACTCATAGCGACCCTGTATAGGGTTTCTGAGGCTGTAAATCTTTACGGGAGCAGAAACCCTCATCTTTTTCCCGTGGAATGGCTGGTAGTTTTGAACTGCTGACCTTGAAGTCAGCAGCCCCACTTGTAACCACTACACTACCAGAACTCCTTCATTGTTGTTGTTATTGTTAAATGCTGTCGTGTTGGTTCCAACCCATAGCGACCCTGTATAGGGTCAGCTGCGGAGTTAGAACTGCTGACTTTGCGGTTCAAACTGACCTTGCAGTCCAGTGTCTGCAACACCACACCACGACACTGTCCATATACTCTTCTTAATCTCGAAACAATCCAGCTTCCATACTTTGTGATTTTACAAATCTTAATGATTTTACAGTCCCTAAATGCATCGATCTTTTCTCAGGCTTAGAGCTTTTTGCACTCTACAGCACACAACGCTGTTAGCCCTACCTGAAACTATCTTTCTTTGACTTATTGATATTTTGTATTATCCTTTCATCTCCGTGATTGGTTCTTCTCTACTTTTTACTAAATGGAATCTTTGCCTCTTTTTCCTTTTTGAAACTATTCTGCAAATTTCATTCTGTAGAGATTGGCTTTTCTCTGTAAGCTTTCCCTTAAGAAGCCTTATTTATTTGTATTTAGTTGTGTAGAAAACTCCCAAATCTATAAATTTGACCTATTTTCTTAGACACTTCAAGTTCAGCATGTCAAAAATCAAAATTATCTTTTGCCCCAACCCAGCTTTTTTTCCTATTTCTAATAAGGTGCTATAAATGATATAATGGAGTCCTGGTGTGGCACTGTGGGTTAATGCTCTGGACTGCAAGGTCGATTTTGAACCACAAGGTCGGTGGTTCAAGCTCACCAGTTGCTCCTCAGAAACCCTATACAAGATAGCTATGGGTTGGAACCAACTTGATGACACTTAACAACAACAACAAAAAGCTATGACAATTGACACTTTAATCAACTGTATAGAAAAGAGCCTGTTTAGTTTGATTCATTCTTACTAGAATTGGATATCATATTTAATTTTTGCCAATCTGATAGATCAAAAATGATACCTTGTTCAAATTTTTAAAGTTTTATTATTAATGAGATTGAACATTTTTATTTTATTTATTGACCATTTTTATTGTCTAAATTGCTTGTTTGTCCATTTTCATTTTGGTCATGTATCAAGAAGGAACCTTTTATTTGCAAATATTAGAAAATTCAACTCAAATTGGCTTATTAAAGGAAATGTATTACCTCACAGGCTAGAAGTTTGCAATTTTTTCTCAACTTTTTGTTTTTTGTAAAATCGAAAGAATGTACAGTAAAATTGAAAGAATAATATAATAAATAACTAAATACCCTTTACCTAGAATTAATATCATTTTACTACATTTGCTATATCTATGTGGTTTGTACTATTTGACAGTAAGTCATGTAGCGTAGTGGTTACGAATTGGGCTGTGAACCTTAAGGTGAGTGGTTCGAAACTACCAGCCACTCCACGGGAGAAAGATGAGGCTTTCTACTCCTGTAAAGATTTACACCCTTGGAAACCCTGTACAGGGTCGCTATGGGTCGGAACCGACTCGATGGCACTTAACAACAACAACATGTGGTTTGTACTATTTAACAGTAAGTCATGACACTTTAGCTCCAAATATTTCCCTAGGATTCAAATTGACTTTGCGGTCCAATGTTTATCCTATAGCACTACATCAGGACTCCTGTTTTATAGACTATCACATATTCTGGAATTTTTCTTTGTGGTGATATTGAACTTTTCCCTCCTGAATTTTCTGTAAACTGACTTTTAAAGTCTAAAGGCTTGATTCAATTCAGGTTAACCAGTTTTTGGTAAGAATGCTTCATGTGAGTGTAGTTCATATTGTATCACATCAAGAGTCAGTGTGTGATACTAAGTCTGACCACTCCAACCATCTGGTCATACTGCCAGATCTTTTGATTATAAAGGTACATTCTCCTTTTGTAATTAGCAATCTGTAAAATGGAGTCCTGGTGTGGCACTGTGGGTTAATGTGCTAGACTACAAAGCCATTTGAACTGCAAGGTCAGTGGTTCAAGCTCACCAGCTACTCTTCAGAAACCCTATACAGGGTCGCTCTGGATTGGAATTGACTTGATGGTGTGTAACAACAACAATCTGTAACATGATGCCTTAGTACTATGTGAATATCTTTCTCCAACAACCTTTTACCAAGTGGTTTTCACATCCATTCATACTTCTTGCCTGAATCAGCTATTATACTACAGATTTGTGATTTTTATAATTCTGTAATTCTTCCTACGTTTTATCGACTGGTATTTTTTCTGTGAATCAGAATCAACTCAATGGCACCTAACAATATTTTTCTGTAAAGAACAGTTTTCCTGGGTTCATTTAAATGATGGGGACATACGGATTTTTATTTATTCATTGTGTAAAAACCAAATTTGGTTGTTTTTCAATGCTCAGCTTAGCCCACATTTTATCAGTGGAAACTCCTTCAAATTGGCTCCAGTGTCCTCTTTGTTTTTTGATGTTACATTTTTAGATAGAACTTAGATTCAATAAAATACACCAATTTTAAGTGTGTAACTTAGTGAGTTTGAGCAAATGTGTACACCTGTGTCCCCATTTTTGATACGACGCCACTAGTCTTTGAGCACTTCCGTAGATTCAGACACGGAAAGGTGAATGAAGGAAATTAGTACCTTCCCTGTCTCAGGTCTGATAGTCTTTTTTTGTTGTTAAGAATCTTGGTTCCTTTAGTGGGAATGACATTTAGAGACCAAATCTGAGTGCAAGGTGCCCTCATTACTAGTGGAGATTCTAAAAGTGGAAGAATGAGGAAAAAAAGATTTTTTGAATCATATTTTTATATTGATATTTCACATCTAATTCTAATATGCCTGGGCTTTTGCTTCATTTCTTTGATTTTATATTTGCCTCTTTTTATTGAAAACTTTATTTTCTAATGGCAAACATATGTTTTATCCTGTTCCAAATGATTTTTCTTTCTACTGCCTAATATCTCCTTGCCATTGAGCATCAAATGTTGAGCATTTTAAACTCTGAGAAGCCAAACACTTCTTTGTTAAGCCAAACACTTGAGGAATTAAAGAAAAGCTACAGGCTCTGTGTTTTTAAATGCAAGACTAAACTTTTTAAAGAAGTATAATGTTTTATTTGTCATGATTTTTAGCACTACCTTGATGTATAAACTGTTTCTTTGCTTGGGATTTTTGCTGTCAGGGGCTTGTTGCAGCGGACCAATGTCCCAAAGGAAGTTATTGATTATCTCATCTTTGGCACAGTTATTCAGGAAGTGAAAACAAGCAATGTTGCAAGAGAGGTGAGTAAAGTAAATTTTATAGATTTAAAAAGACTGATAGGAAAGTCATTTGGGATTTCAATTAATCAAATTTGTTTCTTAAATTCGTTTAGGTTGGTTACATTTGACTGAAAGCTTGTTTTCACAATTTGAATGATACTTAATTGTCTGCTTAGTCTCCCCAGCCCAGTGTAGAGTCATGGTGTGGAATACAGCTTCGTCATTAGCATGAGAACCATGGAGGAAGGAAGTTTCTATTATGCTTTCTTGTTGACTTGAACTATGCCAGTTTAAATTAAGTTTAAGCTTTTTAGTCTCGGAACTCATATATACAAATTGAGTAAGAATGCTATTTAATATTTAAAAGATTTATATTGTACATCAAATGACATTCTGTTACTGAAACTGGTTTTGTAAATGCTAATTTGTCTGCCACTAAAGAGAGGTGATGGCAAAACTGGCTAGTGTTATTCTTAGCAATGTTACAAGACATGATTTCTTTAATTCACTTAAGTTTTCAGCATTTTGCAAAGAACTCGTTTCATAAGTTGGCTTTTGTCATTTGGAAGTAACCTTGCCCTCCTCATTTATTTGTTCCATGGCATGTGAGGCAGTTTAAAAAAAAAAACTAAACGATTCCACAGAGGTTTACTTTTACCCTACTTGGCACAGTTCCACGTTAATGTTTATTGGGCAATCTAGATAATGACAGGCCTTGGAATTTCTGTAACACATCCAAGAGGCATTTCACAATGAATAGTCCAAACCCTTCTTGTGCATTTCGTTTCAGTGTAAAAGTGGTTATATGGATAAAGTTGGTTTCATTTCAGTGTGCTAAACATTTTGCTTATTTTTAATTCTTACCTGCCATGTTATAATGCTCAGTATAGATGCAAGGGTGATAACTTCAGTATAATTATAAGGGAAAATGAGCAGTGCTGAAAGAACTTGTTCTGCCCCACCTTTGTACCTGCCAGGAAATATTAAAACAACAGAAGACATGGCATGACTGTAGCCTACAAAAACCAACTATATATTGTGGCAAAGCAGGAAAGACGTTAAACACTAGCAAGACACTTCTTTTTCCCCTGAAATTCTTGTTTGTTTTCCCCTGGACCATCACATTTCTACATGTACTGAATATGAACATTTATGAACACATCATGGTATTCACAATAGACTTTATACTTTCATATTCTAAAAATAAACAGTGACTCTTGTAAGAACACTTAAAAAGTAAATATTTTATCTGTTTCAGATTTCTTCATGTTTCTATTCTGTCCTAAAGCTCAAGTCATAATGTTTTTCCCTGTTTTTTTTCTGAAAATTTTACCCCAAAATGTATTGTGGTTAGCAGTCTAGTGCCGATCCCACAGCACCACCCACCAGGGCTCCTTTGTATATAAATTAAGCCTCCAAAATAGATTTAAAAGCAGAAGAGACATAGGGACTGTCAAGAAGGGGCTACCACTGATAATTTTCTGGGCATTTCCCCTCTACCTGCCCTATACTTGGAGACCCTAGATGGTGCTGTTAATTGCTTAACTACCAGCTGGAAAGTTTGTGGTTCAGACCCATCTAGAGGTGCCTTGGAGAGGACAAGTGTGGCCATCTGCTACAGCAGGGTTACAGTCTTGAAATCCCTCTTGAGCATTTCTACTTTGCACACATGGAATTGCCACAAGTTGGGGTCAACTCAGTGGCCATTACCAACACTAGTCCTATATGAATTCCGGTTGTGTTGAGCTCTCGGCCATTTTTGCACTGGCTGCAGGAAAAAGTTGGGTTGAGGGGACACGTTATAAGTTAACTTTAAAGTTGTATTTTGGCCAAAAACTTATTATTTTTGCCAGCTGAAGAATTTTTTTAGTACTTGTCCTAAAAGGCTTCTAGTGCTGAGTTTCCATGAACCTGACTTTACTGAAAGACCTCAGCACAGTAGGAGCAGGCTTTTAAAAGTTTGTGGGAAAATGGGATTAAAAGAGCATCGGATTTTTCCACGAACTTTTTGAAGCTCCCTCTATTTCCCTGCTCTCCAGTTTAATGAAGAGGTGTCTTCCTCCTTCCAAATAGTGTACGATCTAGAATCCTAGCTTGCCTTGAGAGCTTTTCAAACTTTAAATAGAAGCGTGTGGACAAGGGTCACCAGAAACCACTTCTATTTAAAGCTCTTTCATTTCTGAGTCAGCTGAGGCCAAGGGTAACACAGGCTGAAAAGGACCTTGTGAAGGTCTAGCCATACAACCTCAGAGTGCCCCCTGCCTTTGCCCCAGTGCCAAGCTCTCCTACTCTCTGAAAATTTGTCCTTCACTTCCTTCTGAATTAGCCAAAGTTGAGAGGCTGACATGCAGTTGCCAGGGGCTAGTTTTCAGCATATTGTTTCTGTATAAGACTTTGGTTTGCTGCTTAGTAGCAGGTCTATGTGGCAAGCCCAGAACACAGTCATATTGAACACACACTACTTCTATATGTGTTATGGTAAAGAGTGCAAAGGTAGCATAAGGGTGAGCAGTATCGTAAATAATGTAAAGGTGTAGTTGTGTAAGGGTGAAGACAAAAATCTGTTAAGAAACATTGAACCGGTTCAGTTCAGACTTTGAAAACTTGTTTATTTTGCCAAGATAGAAGAGAGCCTTGTTATCTGTGGATAATTAAGTAGTTTCAGAATTCCCTTTATCAGGAACCAGAACTTCATAGTGAACAGTTTTGGGGATGGAGGGATTTGGGAGTTTGTTTTTAAGGTGAACCTTTAATTTTATAAAAATAAGTATTTGGTAATCACACTTATGCATTAATTTTTTTCACAAAATTGTAATCAGGCACTGATTGGTTATTTTGGCACCCTAATTTTCCCGTATACGGTAGAATTAAGTAGCATCATGTCAGGCTTGACTTTTACTGTACTCTCATAACAGAAGCCTTTTTTTTTTTTTTTTTTGGTTAATTGGGTATGGGAACACGGTTCTCACAAGGTCTCTCACATTACTCATTTGAAGTACCTGTTGTATCATCCTCCTGGCCAGTCTTCTCTTGCCTAGTTGATGCTGATCTAAACCCTTATTTGTCTATGGCTCTCATGTGACTCAGTTTTCCACAGTTTCTTTTATCAACTGAAGATATTTGCCATGATTTTCAAATCGACTTCGCAGGGAAGTTGTATTGTCTAAAATATTAGAGAGTTGGTAAGCAAGGCTAGGTAGCAATGAATGAGGAGAGACTTTAGTGTGGAGCAGGGTAGGTACCTGTGTGAGAGCTCTGCTTTTTGGTGGGCAATTCTCTACAAGTTATTTATTTTCATGTTTGACAACTTTTGCTTTACAACTAGGTCTAGGTAGGGACACAGGCTCTGAGACTCCTCCCCATAATATATTCAATTGTTCCATGAACTGTATGCAATAGGTTTACCTTAAGTCTATTTGAAAATGTAAACAAGTTAAAATCAAGTATATATGGATATGCTTGAAGGCTCTGAGCAAAGTATTGTTAAGCAGTTAGATGAAACAGAAGCATGTTGAAGCCTTGTATCCATACTTAGAAGCAGAAAAGAAATTTGTACTTGTCTGTCAATTAATGGCTAGAATAAAAATTAGTAAACCATTACTGTGATGGGCCTGAATTTTCAGTACACTGTTACTCTGCAGAGAATTAAACTAGATCCCTTTCCTGATTCAGCATACAAAAAAGTAGTGTTCCACAAGTCATTTCCATGTCACACTTTCTTTATAAGTGATCATTCACTCTATCTCCTGAAGGCTGCCCTGGGCGCGGGTTTCTCTGACAAGACTCCTGCTCACACTGTCACCATGGCTTGCATCTCTTCCAATCAAGCCATGACCACAGGTATGTTTACTTCAAAGTAGAAGGTGCATGTTAGTTCCTTGGACCTATATATGACCATGATGGAGGAGAGGAGTGCAACAGTTCAAGGCAACGGAGGTAAGTACTGTTAAATACGCAGTCTGCAATCATGGTGATCTATAAGGAGACACATGAGTAGACACGCAGCCTGAGCAGGTGTGGACAGGACAGCAGAAATAGAATGTATATATAGTTTGACTCAGGATTGACCTAAGCTGCACATATATTCATGAATGTGGTGGAGAATGCAGGGGACAAAGTTATGAAAACGTCTTAGACATACCAACCACCTTGAGGAAATGAGTTGTTGGGCCTGGGGGCTCAAGACCCTGGTCTCAGGAACTACCAAGGTTAATTGGCATAGCATCATTCACAGAGGCAATGTTCTTTATGAGAAGCAACTGGGGTCTTAAAAGCTGTGAGCACAGTGACTCAAAAGAGGCGACAAATCCTTACAGCAGGAAACATTCCCACCCCCTCCACACACAGAGTGGACAGAGATGGGCAACTTGGACATTGGATACCCAAATGGGGAAGGAGGGACTACAAAGGCAAGAAGTAACGGGCTTACAAGCTTTCAAGAGGGAACCTAGAGCGAGGGGGCATGGAGGAAGGCAGAATCACCAGTGAGTACTATCCAATTTGTCTAGGTGGAGCTGATGAAATGAAATACAGATGGGTTACGCACAATACTGTAGTGAATAATGGTTATCAGGACGGATTGTAAGTGTTGGAAATGCAAAGGTGGACATTTTGTGGCAAGGAAGGTAGCGACTGTTTCTCCAGTCTAGGAGCAGAGAGGTCTCTGGGACCACCAACAGAGAAGAGCCGAGAGCGGAACCCTACCCAGAGAAGCAGGGATGCCTGAGATGGAGACAGGGATGATGACATGGAGGGATGGAGCAGCTGGGGACTTTGGATCCAGAGAGGGAGAGGAACTGTGGGCTGAAGACTGGGGGGGGGGGGGGGGAGAGCGGAAGGGCCGGGCTTCCAGGATATACCCTTTGGTCGGGAGATGATGCATGGAGGGGATTGGAACCATGGCGATGGAATGAATGTAAAACTAGAGTTAAGATGCAGGTATTGGTCCTTCCTTGTCCAGAGGGAAGACAAGTAAAGAAAAAATCGAAGACACATGGAAGTTAGTCCAGTGAACTAATGACCACATGAATATCAGTCTCCATGATGCCTGAGACCAGAAAAACTCAATGGTGCCAAGCAACCACTATAAACTACTCTGAAAGGGTCACATTAGAAAGCTCAGAATAGAGGGTAGAAAAATGTGGGATGAAACTCAAAAAGACCAGATTACGGGTTAAATCGAGACTGGTGGAACCCTCAAGACTATGGCTCTTGGTTACTCTTCATGTCTGGAAGTGAATTTACCCCATGGCTCAATTTTTAACCAAGCCATGGACAGGTGTACAGAGGATGAGGGGGACAATAAACTGGGGAGGTTTGCACAGTTTAGGATAATCAACCATTAGAGATGGAAAAAGGCAGCGTTTTCCCAAGGGCAGAGTTCAGAGGGGTTAGAAATGAGGAGGAATGGAAACAAAACACAGGAAGAAGTGGGATAAGTGATGCTACATTGTGGAGATTGCAATCAGTAACATGAAACAAAGTATCAATGGATTGTTGGCTGCTCAGTAAACTTCACCCAATCCACAGTAAAAGCTGTTCTTGTTTTTTAAAAATGGTACTCTTTTAGAAATGAAGTTCTGGTACATGCTGCAACATTGATGAACCTTGAAAACTGAATGAAATAAGTCAGTCATAAAAGGATAGATATTGTATGATCCTATTTATATGAAATATCCAGAATAGGAAAATACATAAAGATCACGTGGACTCCTGGTGTGGTGCTATAGGATAAGCACTAGGCTGCACACCACAAGGTTGGCAGTTCAAACCAACCAGCTGCTCCTCAGAAAACTTATACAGGCTTGCTATTAGTCAGCACCAACTCAGTGGCACTTAACAAAAACAACAAATTTTATTAATGGTTACCAGGAATAGATGGCGGACTCCTGGTGTGGCGCTGTGGATCAGCAGTGGACTGTGAGCCTAAAGTTGGCAGTTAAAACCCACCAGCTACTCCTCAAAAACCCTTTACAGGGTCGCTATGAGTCAGAACCGACTTTATGGCACTTCATAACAACAACAGGAGTAGGTGGGGGGGCAAAAATAAAATATTGCTTAAGTAGCACTACGTTTCTGTTAAGGGTGATGGGAAATTTGGAAATAGATAATGGTGATGATTGTGCAACTTGAGTGTAAAATGTTCTTAAATTGTACATGTAAAAACGGTTGAAATGACAAGTGTTTTATTATATACTTTTTAAATCAAAATGTTTAAAGGTAAAAGAAAAAAGTACTCTTAATAAGAGTAAGCGATTAACAGAATTTTCTGAATTTGCTAACATAAAGTAATTGGCTATTGACAATAGTTTTCAACCTTTTCCTTACTCTCCATACCTGAGGAACACACATGGTTTCTCTATGAGTAATGTGGCTGGCGACGTCAGGGATTATCAATGGAGTATGTCTCTAGGAGAATGCTCTGGAATTCAAGGCAGTACTAGTGTAACACCCGCTCTTATATGCTTCTTCTCTGGTACTCCCCATGAAGACTGTACTACTCCTTCACCACCGTCCCCATACTTCGACAACTCTCCTTTAGGTGGTACAACTCCTTCCTTCCTTTCTCCCCATGTCCTTGGCATTCGTATAATTAGTTGCAGATTCTCCTACCAAATGTTAGCAAAATTATAACATTTCAGAGCATTCACTTTTAGTGTGAAAAGAGGAAACCTGAAATAATTAGTAATCATGTGCTCTTTTAGTAACATCAAGGCCAGTTTAGACAGTCTACCTCCACCTCATGGCCAAAGATGGTAACTGGGGCATTCTCCATATGTACAGTAGGTGACCAACTCCTATTTAGAGCAACAGAAGACTTACTTTGTTATTGTTAAGTGTCGTTAAATCGGTTCCAATTCATAGCGGCCCTATATAAGGTTTCTGAGGAGTAGCTGGTGGGTTTGAACCACCAACCTTGTGGTTGACAGTCTAGGGTTTAACCAAAATGCCACATCAGGACCCCTAATGGTCATGAAAAGGGAGGAGGGCTGCCTTGCATCTCAAAAGCTAGAATTTTTCTGAGGGGTATGTTGTTGTTGTTAGGTGCCATTGTCACCAACTCATGGCGACCTTATGCATAAATAAGTAAAAAAGTAGAAATTAAAATGCCCTTTATAGGGGAAAAAAAAACTTTCTGAAAACTAGAGCTGGGGCATATTGGAAGGTTCTCCAAAAAGTTTTTGGAAAAACAGAATTTAAAAGTAATAGAATTGTTCCAAGAACTTTTTGAAGCCTCCTCCTAAAATATACACAGTTTTATGGTGCAGATATTTCTAAAAGTTGTTATCTATATGACCTGAATGAAACTTGGTTTTCTTCAATGTGCTGAACTGTATTTTTAGTCATTAAAAAAAATAATAATAATATATCTTATTTCCTCTGAAAAGATGCTATGAATAGTATGTTATGTTTTGCAAAAGATATTAATTAACATATGACCTGTGCCCTGTAGGTGTTGGCTTGATTGCTTCTGGCCAGTGTGATGTAGTTGTGGCAGGTGGTGTAGAGCTGATGTCTGACGTCCCTATTCGTCATTCAAGGAAAATGAGAAAAATGATGCTTGATCTCAATAAGGCAAAGACTATGGGTCAGCGACTGTCATTGATCTCTAAATTCAGATTGAATTTCTTAGCGCCTGAGGTAAGACATACGTAAACTCTTAGAGAAAGATTTGTGTTTCCAAAGCATCTCACTGTAGAGATTTAGAATTAAGTAAAACAGTGAGGGCTTAGGTATGTTCTTACAGTTTTAGATTTTATTAGGTACAAGAAAGCGTTCGTTAATTATTTGGTCAAGATGAAGGGAAAACAATTTTTTAAAAAAATGAAATCCGCTACTGTTAGGTCAGTTCCAACTCATAGCATCATAGTCAGATAAGCTCTCGATCCAGATGTCCTATATACAATGAGCTTGTCTGAGATACTAAACAAATTGGTGTTATTGTTGATCGCCGGGGACTCAGTCCTGACTCATTGAGACCCTGTGTAGGGTTTCCAAGGAGTAACATTGTGGTCAACAGTCAAGTGCTTTGCTTATAATACCAGGACTCCAAGCAAATAGCAGATTTCCATTTTTCCAAGTAAAGACAGAACAACCCTAGATGTCATAAACGCCTGTTAACACTGTTTCTGACCCTTCATGTGCCTTCTTCCCCAGCTCCCTGCAGTGGCTGAGTTCTCCACCAGTGAGACCATGGGCCACTCTGCAGACCGACTGGCCGCTGCCTTTGCTGTTTCTCGAACGGAGCAGGATGAATACGCACTGCGTTCTCACAGTCTAGCCAAAAAGGCACAGGATGAAGGCCTCCTTTCTGACATTGTACCCTTCAAAGTACCAGGTAAAATGCATAGCTCAACTTGGTAAAGGAGAATGCTTTGTGGTAATTCTTAAGGAGTTCTGAATTGCTCCTCAAGCACAAAAAATCTCGAATGTGTTTTCAAGAAGTATGTTGTTTCTGCCTCCAGAATATTTACCATTCATTTTTAAACATAGGCTTAACTTTCAATTTATGTTGTAATATAAGAGTCGCCATGTAAATTTTCCTGATACATTTCAGTACATGCATTTTTTTTTAAATTCCTGATTCCTGATGACTTCTATTTAGAATAATCAAATGTGAATGAATGTCTTAAGAAACTAGGATATACTAGGGTTAAATCGTTTCTTTCTCAGATTTCTTAACTGTTTAGTGTGATCATAACTTGATAAACTGTAAAACATTTCCTTTCTACTGAATAGGTGTAGTTTACATTTCATTTGTTCCTCCTCTGGAGATGATAGCTAATGCTTGTAGTTCCTTAGAATTAAAAAGGCCTTGTTGTTTTGTTTTTGTTTTTTAGGAAAAGATACAGTTACCCAAGATAATGGTATCCGTCCTTCCTCCCTGGAGCAGATGGCCAAGCTGAAGCCTGCTTTCATCAAGCCTTATGGCACAGTGACGGCTGCAAATTCTTCTTTCCTGGTAACTGTCAATGCTGTGTGCGTTTAGAAGTGACGTTTATATTTGTGTACTCACTCTAGAAAAGCCTAAAATACATTTACTTGTGTGTTTAATGAATTGAGGTTTCAAGAATATAGTTGTTATAATAAAGATAGTATTAAAATAAAATCATAATAAAGAAATAGAATCATACTTAGAAGTCATCTACTCTAACCACCATTCTGACCCAGAAAGCTGTTCTCTTCAGGCACTTACTTGTAGAAAAAGCATTTATTGCCTGTGCTGGGGCCTAAAGATGAAAACCACAGAGCCTGGTGAGATAATGAGAAAGTGCTAGGGAAGTCAGGGAATCCTCTCAGAGGGAAGTAGTGCTTGAGCAATGAGTCTTGAAGGAAAAGTAAAAGCCAGTTTAAGAAGTGTAGAGGAGGCCCTCTCAACAAATGCAAGGAAGTGTGGGAGCACAGTCTCTGAGGAAAAGTTCGGTTGGAGCATGGAATATGAATTGGGAGGGTGGGCAGTGTTCCGTTCTATTGTACTTAGGGGTCACTGTGAGTTAGAACTGGCTCGAAGGCACTTAACAATGTAAGATGTGGAAAAGAGTAGGCAGGAAAATAACGAGATACCTCTTCTAACCTCCACACTGTGGTGGCACGAATATTTTTAAATATCAGGGACACCAGTGGTGGAGCTGCCAGACTAAGACAGACTAGGAAGACTCTTTAGAATGGTTAGCCACTGAAAACCTCACAAGTAGCAGCTTAGTATTGTCTGGTGTACTGCCAGAAGATGATCCCCTTCAGTTGGGAGGGACTCAAAATACAACTGGGGAAGAGCTGTCTCCTCAAAGAAGAGTTGGCTTTATTGATGGTGAGGGACCTTGATTTGTTGAAGGGACACAACTCAAAATAAGAAGAAACAGCTGTAAGCATTTATTAATAATTGGAACGTGGACTATATGAAGTATGAATCTAGGAAAATTGGAAGCTGTTAAAAATGAACTAGAATACATAAAGATTGGTATGTTAGGCATTATTGAGCTGAAATGGGCTGGTATTGGCCATTTTGAATCTGGAAAGACAAACTGAAGAGAACTAGTGTCTGTCACATTCATCATCAAAAAGAGCATTTCAAGATCTATCTTGAAGTACAACACTGTCTGTGATAGGATAATATTCATACGTCTTCCTTGTAGGCATTAATGCCACTATTATTCAAATTTACAAAGGTAAAAAACTACAGCCTGCAGTATAAATTGCACCTCAATGTAAAGAAAACAAAAATCCTCACAAGTGCAACAATAAATAACATGAAAAACAGAGCAAAGATTGAAGTTGTCACAGACTTCATGCTGCTTGGATCCATAATCAACATTCGTGTAAGTAGCGGTCAAGAAACCAAGCAGTGTATTGCATTAGGCAGATCTGCTGCTAAAGACCTTTTTAAAGTGTTCAAGAGCAAAGATGTCAGTTTGAGGACTAAGGTGCACCTCCCTCATCCAAGCATTGATATTTTCAATAGCCTCTTATGCATGTTAAAGTTGGACAGTGAATAAAGAAGACCGTAGAAGAATTGATGCATTTGAAGTAGGGCGTTAAAGAAGAATATTAAAAGTACCATGGACTGCCAGAAGAACAAATCTGTGTTGGAAGAAATAACAGCCAGAATGTTCCTTAGTAGCCAGGATGATGAGACTTCATCTCTTGTGCTTTGGACATGTTGTCAGGAGGGGCTAGTCCCTGGAGAGGATGTTATGCTTGGAAACGTGGAGAGTCAGCAGAAAAGAGATGACCCCCAAGAAGACAGATTGACACAGTAGAAACAATGAACTCAAACATAATAATTGTGAAGATGGTACAGGATCGAGCAGAATTTTATTTTGTTGTGCATAGGGTCGCTGTGAGTTGGAATAGCTCTTAACAGCAACACCTCTTCTAGTGATGACAATAAGAAAACAAGGCTTTATACGAACCCCAAAATTACTTTCTTATAAGCATCATGGATTTCTTTTTTACTTAATTGAATGTAACTCTCCTATTATTGTTCTTTTTGACGCCTCCTCAATGAACATTTCTGTTGATACACTGCCATTACTTGTATTACTTGGTTTTTATTCTCTTCTCACCTTGAAAGGGGTCTTCTGGATATAGACCTGGTGGTCAGTGTTTCTTTCATGCCTGTTCACTGTACCCCAGATGGTCCCTGATTAGCTTCAGGAAAAAATTTCCTTCCTCAAGTGGAAGGTAAAGCTCACTAGAACAGGATTGGAATGGCTTTATGTGCTGTTCTTCCCTCATGCTGATTCTCACTCATTCAAGGTTCTGGGGTTAGTTGTCAATTTCAGGGAGCGTTTACTCCTTTAAGGAACCTCAGTGGCACTGTGGATAAGGCGTTAGGCTACGTCAGAGATTCAAACCCACCAGCAGCTCTTCAGAAGAAAGATGAGGCTGTCTGCTGCGGTAAAGGTTTACAGTCTCAGAAACCCTATATAGGGTCACTGTGAGTTGGAATCAACTCAGTGACACTAGGTTTGGCTGTGGGTTGGTTTTTACTCCTTTACATTTTTACAAAGCATTTTTAAAATTTTAATTGAAGTTTTAATAGTCAATTTTCCTTATTTAAAATAATAAAATATAGGTACTAACCAGACTTGAGCTTTGGTGTGACACTGTAGGATAAACACTAGGCTTTAAGGCCCCCATCCACTCTTAGAACTGGCATGACAGTACACAGCAACAGCAACCAGACTTAAATACTTCAGGTCTATCAGATGCCAAAATGGTAATCCATTTCAGAGATCTAGTAAGGTAGTAATTATCCATTGTATGGTTACTTACCATGTTAGTAAGTAAGATTGGAGTTCTTCAAAGGATACTTAAGGATGTTAGAGAAAAGAAAACAAATTATCTAAGCAATGTTAGGCAAATAAGATGACTGTTCCCACAACCCAGAAAATGAGGGGAGCATTAATATATTGTAAATTGACTGATTTAGGGATGGAAAATGAAATTTCACTGACAACCCTTGAGTGCTTCTTTTTACCCAAGCAAATACGTTATCTGCTACATTCACCTTTATATATGTATATGTATATAACTAGAAATCAGCATCTAGAGCTCTAGCCCTCAACTGACCCTTTCTGTTCTCTTTAGTTAAGGAACTGAAGAAGCCTACCTGAGCTCGTGGGTCAAGATGTTCATATAAGGAAAAACAGCAGAAGACACTAGATAACAGCACAGGGTCAGCCTGAACATATGTAATTCAGTTAGTTGGCCTCTCTTCTTCCCTTGACAGTGTTTGCCCTAAGAGCAACCACATATATTGCTATTACAAGCCAGAAAGCTAGTCTTATCTCACATCTAAGTGATTATCCTTTTTCCTTTTGGCTTCATATCCTTTTTACTTGTTTTATAGTTATTACATAGTTTTTTTTCACCTTTTTTTAGGACTCCATAGGATAGGTTACTTAGTAAAAATTAGTCCTTGGGATATAAATTGAAAAAATCACTGAGAGATTTTCATTCATAAGAGCAAGGAGGGATTCCTGCCAGTTTGGTAGAATTTTAAACTACTGCCTTGTGTGTCACAGTTCCTTGACTCTTAGGGAATTTAGCAATACTAAGAATAAACATATATGTTGTTGTTGTTGTTGATAAGTGCCATCGAGTCACTTACAACTCATAGAGACCCTGTGTAGGATTTCCTAGGAGTGGTTCAAACTGAACTGCAGTCTTGTGGTTATCCTACAGTGCCACACCAGAAGTGTGTGTGTATGTGTGTGTGTATATATATATACACACATACACATATAAAATTAGAAGTAACAATTTCATATTCTATTGCATTAAATAACATTCTTTATGGTTGCCAAGGAATTCTGGTGGTCTAGTAGGTTAAGTGTTAGACTGATAACCAAAACGTTGGCAGTTCAAACCCACCAGCTCTGTTAGAGAAAGATGAGGCAGTCTGCTTCTGTAAAGATGTACGGTACGGCCTTGGAAACCACATTCTCCTCTGTCCTATTGGGACATTAGGAATCAAAATCGTCTCAACAGTAACAGGTTTGGTTTTATTTTAAGGTTTCCCAGGGCACAGGGAGGGAAGGAAATGGAGACTGGCTTCCAATAAGTATGAAAGTTTCCTAAAAATGTCTACAATTAGATAACGATGCTGGTTGTACAACTGTGAACATACTAAATTATACACTTTAAATGGGGGCATTGTATGGTGTATGAATTATATCTTAATAAAGCTGTTATAAAAGAAGTCATTTAATAGCACATATTTTATTTTAAAAATTGTCAAATTGTAGCCAGTGTGTTACTGTTTGAATACTGTATCAACGAATCCTGTTTTTTGAATTGTAACATTAGCTGAAATAGGATTCTGTTTTTGTTTATTGTTGTTGTGTTAAGTGCCGTAAAGTTGGTTCTGACCCATAGCTATACTGTATGGGGTTTCCAAGGGTGATTATAAAATAAAGCACACTGTCAGATGTTTGACATATTTGACCACTGTAAGTGACTAATTAATGCATGCTCTTGATGGGCTGGGGAGGGAGTGGTACCAACCACAGTATTATGCCAGAGCCATGATTGGATGACAATTTCCAGAACTGAACCAGATAACAGTCATGTGGCACAGGCTGTATTCTGGCTAGATCTGAACTTCTCTGATGACTTCTGGCCTGCAGTAAAGGTGCAGGTTTATTCAGTGAAGCAGCACTTCACAGGTACATGGATTTTCAGAAATGTGTTAATTCACCACATTCATTGCAATTTGATGGCAGTGTTTTTATTATTATTATTATTATTATTACAGTTTTGCACAATGGCACATAGCACATACTGTAACATAATATCCATAAATCATGTATTACGTTTATTCACCTGTTTCCATACTTTATGATCACTCTGTAAACCACAGCCACTGCCACTGAGTCACTTCTGACTCATAGCAAGTCTATAGTACAAAGTAGAACTGTTTCAAAGGGTGTCTGAGGCTGTAACCTAGGGAAGCAGACTGCCGCATCTTTCCCCTGTGGAGCAACTGGTAGGTTCAAACCTCTGACATTTTGGTTACCAGCCCATTGCTTAACACACAGTGCCACCAAGGCATTGTCTAAAGACCCCAAACCAAACCCACTGCCATCAAGTTGATTCCAACTCGGAATGACTCTATATAGAGTTTCTAAAACGGAATCTTTATGGGAGCAGATAGTGTCCTCTTCTCCTGCAGAGTGACTGGTAGATTTGAACCACCAACCTTATGGTTAGTAGGCCAGCAGCAACCTACAGTGCCTTCAGGGCTCTATATAGGAATTATGCCGTTGTCGGTAAGTGCCATTAAGTCGGTTCCGACCCACAGTGACCAAGGAGGGTTTCCAAGGAGCAGCTGGTAAGTTTGAACCTTGCAGTTCAAACCAACTTTGTGATCAAGTGCTTATCCTACCGTGCCACACCATGACTACTGGTGACCTGTAATTAATTCAGGGTCACTGAGTTATAAAAATAGGGTCAAAAATGGTAGAAATTTTTTTATTTTGAAAACTATACAGAATAGGTTCATTTTCATTGGAATTTTAGATTTGAGGGAGCTCTTTCTTTTGAAATAATGGTAAAGGACTTTTAAAAATGGTATCCCTTTGTACCCCACCTTCTCATTTGTCATCTGGGAGATGGTGGATGAGATCAGAAGAGGAAAGACCATAGTTCTCCTTCTGCCAGCTGCCTGTCTGTTTCACCTTCTCCACTAGTTTGTGCTTTATCAAGTCCAAAAGCTCAACAAAAGTACCTCGAAGCCACAGGCAGGAAGCAACTAAGACAGTCCAGAAAATGTCAATAGATAAGTTATTTCCTCATATTCTGTACCAAAAAACAGAATGCTGTTGGTTTATTATGAGTACGTATTTCTAAAGTTGTCTGTTCTCTTTGTCCATGTTGATAATTGTACTTTTTGACAGGTCCTTTTACTCTCTTTCTCCAAAAATGGGTGATTGCATGTGTCTACATTGTAATTTAATGATGGGTAAAATGAAACACGTTCTGTTATCCAGAATTGCTGTGTTAGTCTAATTAGGACAAGTTTAGGAACAGGACACAGAGGAATTGAACCGTCTCATCCCATTACCATTTCAGACTGATGGCGCATCTGCGATGCTGATTATGGCAGAGGAAAAAGCTCTAGCCATGGGCTACAAACCAAAGGCTTATTTGAGGTAAAGTAACATTTTACAATTACCTCTGATTTCCATGTTTTATTACTGGAGCTAACCCCTCTATTTTTTTACCTAGGGATTTTGTATATGTATCTCAGGATCCAAAAGATCAGCTTTTACTTGGGTAGGTACCAGTATATACACTTGAACTATAATCCTGAAGTATTAACTCGGCTTGGGTTACTCATATTTCTTATACAAATTTTAAAGTAACTTAAAAAAAAATTTTTTTTAACTGGGGTGTGTGGGATTTTTAAAGTACCAGTTCTTTATGTTGGTATATCATTCTTGCTGATGTATTTTTTACTTTGTATTCTGCATTTTTTATGACAGTTTTTATGCATTTTTCCATATCGTTACATACTCTGGTAGATAGCTTTTATAATAGCTTTTTATAAAAACATCATAATATTTCAGTCATTTCCTCTCACACAAGGCTCAATGGTTTCTATATAGTCTTCAAACTAGGCAATCTCTTTCCCATACCTTACCCTTTGAACTCTGTGTTGTTCTAGCTCTTCACATCATTAACTTGTCCTTACCCTGCAGGTGTCCAGTCAAATGTCATCTCAAAGACTTCCCTGACCACCGTGTCAAAAGAGCCCTCCCTCCATGTATTTCTCTGTCTCATGTCTCTATTTACATTCACAAATCTCATGACATTCATTATGACAATCTGTATTTATCTTGTTTGTTAATTATCTTTTTCCTAACTCTAAGGACAGAGACCATGTCTGTTCAATTCACTATTGTGTCCCCAACCCTCATTAGACTTTAAATAGTGGAATCAGTGAATGTGGAGTACATTATATGAGGGGGCTTCAAAAAGTTCATGGAAAAATGGAATTAAATGATAATGGAATTTTCCCACAAACTTCTCAAAGCACTCCTTGTAACATCTATGTAAAATTAAGTTTGGGAAATATGAGGGATCATTTAAAGTGTTAAGATATTTCTTATTTTTCTTTTCAGACCAACATATGCAACTCCAAAAGTTCTAGAAAAGGCAGGGTTGACAATGAATGATATTGATGCTTTTGAATTTCATGAAGCTTTCTCAGTAAGTCCTTTTAAAGATACATATAGAAGGGCTATACTCATAGGAAAATAGTCCATGTTTGTGGAAGAGAGCAAGATAGGGTTCATAATATGAGTAAACAGAGGTGTGGCACTTGACATTTTACCTACTTTGCTGGAAGAGATGCAGGGGAGTGAATCAAGGGTCATAAGTACAGGGTTGAAAACAGACCTTTTGAGATTGTTTCTTAGACAGTTGACAGTCTAAAAAATATCACATGGTTTCTAAGAAATTTTCTCTGAAAACTGATATAAGATTTGCTGAAATTAGATGAAATTAGATGAACCTATGTCTAAAAGAAAGCCTCATTGCTATTAAGTGCTATCAAGTCAGTTCTGACTCTTAATGACTCTGTACAGGGATTCTGTGGAGCAGCTGGTAAGTTCATACTACCAGCATGCAGTTAGCAGTCCAGTGCTTATCCTACAGCGCTACACCAGGAAAGCCTGTGTTAAGTGCCATCGAGTCAGTTCCAACTAGGCGATTCTGTATAGGGTTTCCTGAGGAGTGGCTAGTGGATTTTGAATTACCAGTCTTTCAGTTCTGTGCTTTTCCTACACTGCCACACCAGGAAAGTCTACAGAGGCATAAATAACAGTTATTACAGAATTTTTTTATCTTTTATTTTAGGGCCAGATTTTGGCTAACTTTAAAGCCATGGATTCTGATTGGTTTGCACAAAACTGCATGGGTAGAAAAACCAAGGTGAGTTTCTCATTTAAAATGTGCTTGCTGTTCAGTTACTGCTAATAAGAAGATAAAGGGAGAAAACCATCTTCTTGCTTATGAAGGATTTTCTGTTTCATTAAGTGTTTTTGTCTAGTTGGAAAATCTTTAGCAAAAATAAAAGCAAAATTTCTATATTGTCTTGTTCTTCACATTAAGATGTTTGTTGTTGTGTGCCGTGGAGTCAGTTCCAACTCATAGTGACCCTCTACAGGGTTTCCAAGGCAGTAAATCTTTACGGGAGCAGAAAGCCTCATCTTTCTCCCGCGGAACAGCTGGTAGTCTCGAACAGCTGACCGTGAGATTAGCAGACCGATTCATAACCACTACGCTACCAGAGCGCCAACTAAAAGAAATCCTCCACTTTCAGAATCGATCAAATCTTTTTCTTTTGCAGTAAGGTTGTTTGTAACATATTATATACGTCAGTAATTTGCCAACATTTCTATTGCTTCCTGTCATGAAGAACCTGGCCTGATTGTTAATAAACTCACCTTTGCATTTGTGTCTTTATTTTTGTGGGAGGCAGGTTGGAAAGCCTCCTTTGGAAAAGTTTAACACCTGGGGTGGATCTCTGTCCCTGGGACATCCGTTTGGAGCCACTGGCTGCAGACTGGTCATAACAGCTGCCAACAGATTACGGCGGGACGGAGGCCAGTATGGCTTGGTGGCTGCCTGTGCAGCTGGAGGCCAGGTAAGATGCAGCAGCTTCATAGGAGCTTCCAGAAGCTTGTTTTCTTGGGGAAAAAGAAGCCCATCCTAAAAATTTTGGTTTAATTTAGTTCAAAACATTCTTTTTTTAAGTTTTTATTGTGAGGTTTACATGGGAGAACATCAGCTTTACACTCATCCTATCGTATTTCATTTCATTGCAATGATTATAGTCCCCTCCATGCATCATCAAAATAACCAAAGGATACACCACACAGGCCTTCTCCCGCCCTGAATCCAGTGTCCCCAGCTGCTTCATCTGTGCACGTCATCATCTCTGTCTCCATCCCTGAAATCACTGCCTCTCTGGGTTCAAAATATTCTTAAAACGTTATTTCTGATGACAGGCAGCCTTTTTGAGGAGAGCATAAAGGGAGGTGTAACTTTAATTCTGATAATACTTTGGAAAGAAAGTGCTGTTGAAATCCCAGCTAATTTTTTTTTTTTTTAAATCTAGTTAATCTGAGACTTTACCTATAAAACCCTCTGAGGGTAAATAAACTATCTTTCTAGAGAACTGAACTATGCCTTAGTTGAGGAAGTGATTTGCTTCAGAATGTTGTTGTTGTTAAATGCCATCAAATCAGTTTCAACCATAGTGACCCTGTATAGGGTTTCTTAGGAGTGTCTGATGAGTTTAAACCTTGTGGTTAGCAATCCAGTGCATATCCTACAGTGCCACACGGGAACTCAGCATAATTTATTGCTATTTAGCTGAGGGAAATTATGTTGTCCTGCAGATTTTTCGTACCTGCTGCCTCACTTGGATTACAGACACAGCTTCCTATGTGGAAATTAAATCAGAAGGAAAGTTGACTGTGGTTGTATTTTCCTCCAGATTGTAGAAATTTTCAGTTGCTGGTCTAGATGAATAAATCATTAAAATACAATCTTTTAATTACTCTTTTTCACTAACTTTGTGAAGCCCCCTCACATATGAAAGCATAAACCTCTTATTTTATAAGCCTTTTATATCGCTTTTCCACAGAGACTTTGAAAAAATAAAGGATTGTTATTTATAGGTTAAACATTTTAGACTTTGATTAAAACATTATTTAATCTCTGTGGTTTTATCTATAGAAAACTAGAGTCAGGGCAACATCCCTGATCTTGTCTTTCTGTGTCACATTAAAACTGAGATGCTACTTCATCCACAGTGCTGCATGTCATACATGAGCCACATAGGTTAATGAATGGCCTTTGGTTCTGAGTGTGTGTTCCTTAATTTTCTGTCTAGTGCAGAGAGTGGATATCTACTGCAATACAGGGCCCACTTGTGGATGAACAAAGAATAATACCCAGAAACTCACAGTATAGTGAGGAGAGAGGACATACTGCATCTGAGGAGCTCATTGAAATTTGGCATTGTTTCATCAAAAGCCAAATGAGTGTTACAAATATAATTGTTGTTGTGAAGTGGCACTGAGTCAGTTCCGGCTCATAGCAACCCTGTATAGGGTTTCCAAGGAACATCTGGTGAGCTTGAACTGCCAACCTTCCAGTTCAAACCAATCATGCAGTCCAGCGCATTAATCTGCAGTGCCACACCAGGACTTCACAAATATAATTGTTGTTGTGAAGTGGCACTGAGTCAGTTCCGGCTCATAGCAACCCTGTATAGGGTTTCCAAGGAACATCTGGTGAGCTTGAACTGCCAACCTTCCAGTTCAAACCAATCATGCAGTCCAGCGCATTAATCTGCAGTGCCACACCAGGACTTCACAAATATAATTAGGAGATCAAAAAAGGAATTGGTCATTGTTGATCTTGAGCAGGGTTATTCAACTTTGGCAGTATTGATGTTTTGGAACAGATAATTGTTTATTGTGAGGGGATGTTAGATGCTTTCTGTGGGTGAAAGATGTGGTAATGTGGTATTTTAAGGGTTTACAGCATTGGATACACTATGGGGCAATTCTTCTCTGTCTTTACAGGGTCACTATGAATTGGAATCATAGTGTTAGTGGCTTTGACTGTGTAGCTGCCTCACAAGTCTTTACCCTTTAGATACTAGTAGCAGTACCCTACACTCATCCTAAATTGGAACAGCCAAAAATGTCTCCAGACAAGGTCAAATGTCCCCTGGGGGCAGGGCACAGTTGCCTCTAGTTGAGAACCATTGATTTAGCCAAGGGATGTTGGAACATTAAAACAGTGTTTTTAGATGAAGCTGAAGAAGTATTCTAGCTTCTTATGACCCCTTCCAGGACAGTGCCAACTCAAACCTGCCCACCCTGTACCTGTTTTTGTTTGCATATGTCTTTACTGAATTACTTAACCCTTTGTTTTGAACTACTAGATATACCAGATTAAGGACAGTGACTATGTAGCAAATATTTATGTTTATACAGTATTCTCCTTAGTGCCTTATACAGACAGTTGCTTAGTAAATGTTTGTGGAGATTTGAATTAAACCTAAAAGCAGAAAGATTAATCTTTTAACTAGCTTGATGGAAGTCTAAAAGATAGCATGTGTATGATAGCAGATAGGGTGTATATTCATGGAATCATAAATTGGCATAGCTGTGTGGTCCCTCAGATCATCATCTTAGCCTATGTAGAATAGTGAAGAAGGGAATCATCTAGACCTGGTTTCAGATCCTGGTTCCAATTTTTGTGATTTGAGTGAGTTACTAAACTTAGAAATGTACTTTTGGCATTTGCTGTTTGATGTTTATTTTTTTATAGCTAAAAAAGCCCCCGTGAAGTCTCATCTTTCTTGCAGCCATTTCTAGAGCATCCACTGGAATCAGACTCTGTACTAGGACTTTCCACATATAGTATGTTATTGAATTTCACACTCATACAAAACTACTGTGAACTAGGTTGTATGAGCCACATCTTCTGGAAGAAGAAAATGAAGTTGAGAATGGCTAATAACTTTTCCAATATTACATAGCAATTGAATGGCAATTGAATTCAAAATCTATGTGCATCCCATTGTTCTCTGCTGCCCCCTAATGGTCATATGCTTGTTGACTTTATTTGATGCTGTAAATGAATTTTTTTTTTCCCTTTACAGGGTCATGCTATGATAGTTGAAGCTTATCCAAAATAAGAGATGAAGACCAGGTGACCTGACGTTTCTGTGAGCCACTCCCACTAAGCAATGCCATTTCAATGCATTACTAAATGACATCTATAGTTCTAGTTCCTCTTAGGAAAGCAAACTTTGTGGCCTTCTGTTCACAGTTCAGTGTTGGCAGTGTTCTGAGCTTTTCATTAATCTGGCTTATTGCTCTTCAGGGATTTCTTAGTCACCAAAATCTCACACAGTGACATGTTTCAACAATTGTGGGTTTTTTTTGTCTCTGTTGTCATGAAACACCTAAGTTTGTGACTGCAGTTTAGGTAAACTATTAACTAAAATTTGCAAATTATTCTCGCTCCTAAAGTTTTATGTCCTAAAGTTAAATGTTTTCCATAAAATACAAACCAATGTGCCTCAAATAATAATGGAATGATAATTCAGAATCTAAACCACACTGTAAACTAACAGTAAATGTTTAGATGCATAAATATCATCTTGGCTGACCTTAATAAAGTAGAGAAGTATTACAGAACTATTTGTTTATTTTTTATTAGAAGGAGGGAAGTGGTTCTCTTGGCTTAGGGGCAAACTTTGTCTTTAATTTGTGATTCATAACTTTTGTAATCATTGTAGTCAGCCACAAGGCTGCTAGGAACACAAAGATTGTTCTGATTTGGAATAACACCTCCCACTTTCCCAAAGTTCCCCCAGCCTTCTTCCCCCACCCCAATTACTTGATTGTGGTAAACTTATTTCACCTTTTGGAGATGCTTCTGTTTACCATGACATGTACAGAAGTTAAAATTTTTTATTAACACAATATACGTCCTTTGTTTTTTGATAAACCATCTGCACTAACTATGTATGTTAGGGCTTTGGAGAAGCAAAAGGCTCCATTGTGGTCACGTGTTGTGTTAGTCCTCTGAAAGTGGCTGGCAGTCAGAATCACTCTCCAACTCAAGGACAGATTGGACAAATGACCTAATATGATCCTTTTACATGGATATTTAAGAAAGAGTCCCAGCATCATTTTCCCCATTGGCAATTTCAACATAATGAGTTTTTAATACTGAAAGACACTGTACAAGTTATATGCTTGTGTATCACAAAAATCAATTTTAGATTAACTAAGTTAAATATAAAATGTAAAAGAAAAAACCTTTTGAAATTTCAGAAAAAAATACCACTATGACCTTCGGATTGGGAGAGATTTCTTAAAAGGTCATTTAAAGTGCTCATCATAAAACAAAAGATTTATAAATTTGAATGTTAAACTTCTGTTCATTAGATGGTAGAGTGGAAAGATAAGTCCCAAATTGGGTGGAAGTGATAATCTGTAATAGCTATATCTAGGAGCCCTGGTGTGGTGCTGTGGGTTAATGCGCTGGACTGCAAGGTCAGTTTGAACCATAAGGTCGGCGGTTCAATCTCACCAGCTGTTCCTTGGAAACCCTATTCAGGGTCGCTATGAATCAGAACCAACTCAACAGCACTTAACAGCAACAAGGAAAGGATCCAGGACATATAAAGAACTCCTGCACACCAGTGAAAATAGGAAAATGTTCTGTTATAGGCATTTTTTAAGAAATTATACCTAAGTGGATAATAAACACAAAAATGCTCACTAATAAGAAAAGTGAAAGTAAGATCATAATGAGGTATTATATTTATCCACCAGAATTGCAATATTAATCAGACTGAGAATACAGTATTCTGGTGAGGTGTGGAACAATAGGAGCTTTTATACACTCACTTTGGTGGAAAGCAGTCTGGCAGTAGGTTACGTATCTGAATATAGTGCAAAGTCTATGACCCAGCATTTCCACTCCTAGGCACCCTGGAGAAACTGATTTAGATGAGTACCAGGAGATTCATAACGGCATTGCTCCTAACAGCAAACTATTATAAATAACTCATGTATATTACAGGAAAGGCTCAAAAACAAGAAAGACTAACTACGTTTGTCAGATGCCTACAGATTAAGTAAAAATATTTTCTTAAAAAGTTAAAGGAAGGAAAAAGAGACAAATCTTCCTTTCAGAAGAATTCCAAATAATATATTCATATATTCTTCTTCCAGCAGAGAAGCATAACCCGTCTCTTTGAATGTGGTCTGGCATTAGTGACTCATCGCCAGTGAACAGAATATTGAAAGGGAAGCACAACAGCTTTCCTGTGGAGAAATCTGGCAAACACTAGCTTACCCAAGTGATCAGTTAATCATCAGTGATGTGGATGTCACATACCTTGATATGGTGTCATGAAAGGGTAACCACACACAGTCAAATTATGAGAAAACTTCAGACAAACACAAATTGCTGGACATTCTACCAAATACTTGACCAGTACCTAAAATTATAAGGTCATAAAAGTCAAGGAAAGGAGATTTCTGGCAAGATGGCAGGTGAGGCAGACACACTGCACAGACCCTCTACAACAAAGATCCGAGAAACCAAATGAAAACATTCAGAAGAAAATCTTGGAAGCCTGAACTTCAGAGGAGAGGTTAAAGAAGTAGACTGAGCGATTTCTGGGAGGAGAAATGAAGCAGCGACAGCGAGAGAAGAAGACAGGTGAATGGTTGGCCAGATGTGGTGCAACCATCTTGAACTTTTGTGAGCAGCTTTGGCAATAGAAGGTGTCCTGGCAGAGCAGGTTCACACAGGCAACGGGAAAGGTGTAATTCCCTCTTTTCCCCATGCTTACCTGGTGGCCAGCTTCCACCCTCAGTGCAGACCCTGCTCTCACATAATTCCGAGCTGCATGGCTGTAAGCCACATCAGTATAAGGCAGGGGCTGGCTTTTCTGCCACTTTCATGCCTGGATTCATGTGGACTTGGTTCCAGACCTACAGAACCTACAGAGTCACAGACCAGCATCGGTCTAGCAGAAACCCTCATAACCAGCTGCTCTGGGGTCCTAACAGACACTGAAACTGACTCCATCAAGGGCCTCCAAGAATTACTGTATTGAGTGCCCTGAACATAGATAACACTAAGGTTATAGAAATTCCATCTAGGGCCAGGCACTCTGCTGTCACATCCCTCTTGCACCTACCTTCTGAGCTCCTTGGCTGGCAAGAGCCCCCTAGAGTTTTGCCAAAACCAAAGACAAAGAATAAATCCTAAGGACAGCTTAAGAAAAATGAAAAGTCACCTACAAAGTAAAACCAACAAGACGAAACTGATTTCTCAGCAGAAAGCATGCAGGAAAGAAGATAATGGAACATATACAAAACTATGAAAGACAAAAATTGCCAATCAAGAATCATATACCCAGCAAAGCAGTTCCTCAAATACGACAGCCAAATGAGGACATTTCTAGATAAACAGAAATGAAAGTAATTTGTAAAAACCAGACCAACTTTGCAAAAAATACTAAAGGGTGTTCTTTGGACAGACAACCAACAACAGCAAACAAAAACCTGAGATTAACATACATGACAATACTACCCAGAACTCAATCCAGTTGTAGAAGTATTTAAAGCAAAACAAACCTGTTGTTAAATGCCAAGTCAGTTCCTACTCAGTGACCATGTATAGGGCTTCAAAGGAGTGACTGGTGAGTTTGAACCACCAACCTTATGGTAAGCAGTCCATTACTTATCTTATAGGGCCGCACCAGGACTCTAAATTTATAATGAGGTCAACTATAAAGCAAAAAGAGGGAATAGTGGATTAAAAAACTTGCAAATGGTAAGGACATCAAGTAGATACGAAGATAAAACAGACTGTTTTAGAGAGGAAAAAAATAAACCTCAAAATTAATAGGCCTTCACATCAAAATAAAGGAAAATCAGAAATATTTAGTAAACATTAAAACAACAGAAAGGAAAATAAAAGCAAACCCATAAACAAAATGAACTCAGTGCAGAAAATGATGTCAAACAAACCAGCAGCACCACACACACACCCCAAAAAAACCCCACAGCAAAATGACAGCAGTCAGTTCATACCTGTCCATAATTACACTGAACATAAATGGATTCAATGCACCAGTCATGAGTAGCAAAATTAATAAAAACAGAATTCTTCAGTATGCTGTCTGTCTACAAGAGACACATCAGAAAGATGGAGACAGCCCAACAACAGAAGAATGGTTAAACTTTGGTACACAGTGGAATACTATGCAATGTTGAAGAAGAATGAATCTGCAAGACACCTCACAACATGAATGAACCTGATGACATTTTGCTTAGTGAAATTAAGTCAATCATAAAGGACAAATATTATATTAGATCACTGTTGTAAAAGGTTAAGAGAAGGTGTTTTCTTAATAAAAGAAACATTCTATTATAGTTGTGGGGCAATTATTCACAGGCTAGAGGATAGCCTTATGTTAACATGGGTGATGGGGCAGACAACAAGAGGGAGGTTGGCAGAGGAAAGCAGGAGACATGGAGGAATGTAAGAGGTAAAGTGGATTAACTGTTGGTACATGGAGGGGATTGCAATCATTGTAATGAAGCAAAGTATATGATTTGTTGAATGAAACTGATGATCTGCTCTGTAAACCTTCACTCAATTCATAATAAAAAGTTAAATCAGAAAAAAAAAAAATTAAGGAAAGCAGAGAACAGAGGAGGCTAATGAGACATGACTACTAAATGCAATGTAGTGTTCAGTACTGGATTCTGAAACAGAAAAAGGACATTAATGGAGAAAATGAGAAATCTAAGTAAATCTGGAGTTTAGTAAATAGTATAAAAGAAATGAGAGGGAAGAACAGATTAACAATAGAGGCTACCTTGGGGGCTGGGGGCTAGTGAATGAGATTGGAGAAGAGACAGGTAGCTTCAGTGGTATTGCTGATATTCTAGTTCTGAGACTGGTCTGTAGTTCTACCCAAGTTTATGTAAAGTTTACAGGTAATCCCAGGTTAGGATCTAATTTAGAGACAATGTGCACTTGCCCTTTAATGGTACGTAAATTTGCCCTCACTTTGAAAGGATGGAAACAGACTCTGGCACCAGATTCTTCATCACAATCACTTTTACTTGCTGCATGTGAAGCTTTTAAATAAATCATTGAAAAGGCTTTGATCCTTTTCGCTGCCATCGAGTTGGTTCCAACTTTAAGTGACGCTGTAGGACAGAGTAGAACTGCTCCTTACAGTTTCCAAGACTGTAAACCTTTGCAGGAGCAGACAGCCTCATCAGTCTCTCTCAGAGCGACTGGTGGGTTTGAACTGCCAATCCGCGATTAGCAACTTGACGCTTAAACCACTACACCTTTCTTGCACTAGTTAGATTAAACTTTGCACCAGTTTCAATTTACCTACAAATCCTACTTAAAGATACACTTAAAGATATACTCATTTGTAACCCAGGGGTTGCCTATTTTAAACTATTTAAAAATTGTTGATACAAGTAAGAGAAAGCCATGTTATTTTATTAGCATCACTACAACAAGACCATCCTTGGCTGTTTTGATTATAGGCGTTTCCATCTAATGTTTCTTTTCATGTAAAGCTCTAATTAATTTCTGTTCTACCAAATAATCTTTTGGGAATGGGGCCTTTTAATTG